CTTTGGAACGTTCACCGTTTTGTGCGTTCACCATTTTGCACAGCAAAATTGCGCGTAGTGTTGATTATCGTGTCCTAGATGGCGTTAAGATCAAGATTCGCTCTTCGAATTTATATATATATATATATATATATATATATATATATATATATATATATATATTTGGAATCAGAAAGAATAGATCTTTCATTTTATCGCATAATATACAGGGTGTTCCATTAAAAATATCGAAGCTGCTTACGTTTCGCCATTTTTCGATGTGATTTTGTTTTTTCTCATAACGTTATCAGAAAATATAGAAAAAAACTGTCAAGTTTTGTATTTAAAATTTTTTTCTATCTTAAATAGTGAAGGCTGTAGGTAAAGTCTGTCGATTTTAATGTGATACTCCAAAAAAATGTGAGCTGGTGGCTCCCTACATTAAAACGCCAATGGTCACCTGACGTCACACTTGTTTTTGCCATAAGCTTCACCCCCTCGCTCCTCATACGGAAAGTATCAGATTAAAAACGACGGACAATATGGTGCCAAATATAATCAAATACCCTGTACGCACATACATGAACGTGCAAACAAAAACATCAATGTGTATGCAAAATACCGTCGCGTTTTTGAATGTACAATTTTGTATGCACACTCGGAACACTGTAGCAAGAATAGCAAGACTGCAGTTTTGTGCGAGCGTCTGTACAAAAGCGCCATGCACGTTGTGGTCTGCACGTTGATGTATGCACGTATATGTATTAAGACATCCACGTCCGTGTGTAACCGCCTTAAGATAGGAATGTAAAATCGGTTTTCGTCTAAAATTAACCGTTTAGGTTTTACAGCCTGTCAAAGTTGCAAAAAGTCAATTTTCAACTGTCAATATTTCCAAAACAGTTAATCATAAGCCGCTTTCCAGCTGACGCTTTTGAGCACGCAATCGAGCTTTTGCGCGCGCAAATGCTTCAAGCGCATGTTCGAGTGCCAGCCGTACTGCGCTTCGACAGCTGCTAACTTTTGCGTTTCAAACACAGAACACTGTGTTGCACCGTGCTTGAAGTACACAGATGGAAAGCGGCTTTAGTTATAAGGTATATCACATGAAATCTGCTCAGAATTTTACGTCGAATCCAAATATGCAATCACATATAGGGTGTTCCACTTAAAATAACAAAGTTCTGTCTCATACTCCATAAACGGAGCACCCTGTTTATTCAAAAATATTTTCAAGTAATGCATATTAGAATATCAAACAACTTTTTAATTTAATTTTTTTTTTCTTGCATCACCCTGTAAGGAGATATCGTCCGATATCGCACTAAGTGGACACCCTGTATAATATTCCAAAAACTCTACCTTCTGCACAATCGCATTTTATTTAAATTAAACTTCTCGTAACATCAGCTTTAGTATGCTCGTAGAAAAAATAATTATAGTTCCTAACTCTTGCGGGAAGAAATTTCCGGCACGAGGGTGCGAAGCGCCCGTTAGGAAAATAGCTATTGACAGAAATGCTGGGACAAAATTCTTAACAAAAGTTGATACGTTTAGGCTCAACGTGTTCTTTTATCTGTACATTGATGACGTCATAACTGGTAGTGGGGGTCAGAAATTTACTGGGTCTGGGGCGTTTTTTAATCTTTGATAAATCTACTATCTAAAAGCACCTTCTCCGCCAGAAGTGAAATATTTTTATGAATTTTAAGACTAAGCCACCCGACTACATAAATTGATGGATTTTTAGCAACTATTTCATCCTCATCATGATCGCTCGAAAACAGGGTTGCGTTTAGAAATAGCACTCTGGGTGTGAGAGCGACCCTAGAGTAACTTTAAACCGTTCATAAATTAACAGGTGCATACTCAGAGCGTTACACTGGAATCGTTCGGAAATCGAGAGTTGACGTGCCCAGAGTGCGCCCAAATCACCCTACTCAAGAACTTGGTCGAGAAACGCCCCACGGTTTTTACCAGGTTTGACGTTGAAATTTACCGCAACGCCCCAATACGTTCAGAAATAGCGCACCCAGAGTGCACTCCAAGGGATGACGTCAGGACACTCTGACAAACAACTAAAATCTGATTTTTTTTTTAAAGATAAAAGTCAAAATGACAATATGTGGGCAATACAATGTAAAATTGTCAATGCTTTCAAATTTTTTATGTAGAAAAGACTTGTGTTGCCAACATAGTTACTAAATTTTTGACTTAGGGAATTATCTTAAAAAAAAAACAGACTTTTCGTACTCGTACTCATATCTAAACGCTCTCCAGAGGTATTAGTTGTATTCCTTTCACACCTAGGAGGAGCTCCGGAACAGCTCCGAGGCTTCACGCGCATATTCCTTTCGAAAAATGTTTATTGAACCACGCCTATGTTCCCTGCAAATCGGGGGGCGACTAAACACCGGAGCGAGTAGCTCAAGTGTTTCAAACTCTTGAAAGGAATACAACTAGTGTGATGACGTAGACAGCGTGTCATTCTCGCCTTTACCTAAGGTGTTTGCACCACAGATTATGATTCCGCGGGCTTTTGCTTTATGCGTACTTGGTTTTAGTACATTAAGGGCGGGTATTATAAAACTACTTTGAGAGTTAACTTAAAATTAACTTCTGGAATTACATGTAATTCAAAAAGTTAACTTCAAGTTAACTGTCAAAGCAGTTTTAAAATACCCGCCCTAATTAACATTCTTAAAACAGCTATTTTTTGGATCTCATTTGTATCTTCCTCTTTGCCTATTGGTAATCAAATAATATTTTTCTTCATAAATTTATATTCTAAACTACGACCGCTGCCGCAAACAGCTGACGACGTAGTTGATGTCGTAGTTAGCCGCTTTCCACTGTGTGCTTCAAGCACGGTGCAGCACAGTGTTCTGTGTTTGAAACGCAAAAGTTAGCAGATCTCGAAGCGCAGTACGGCTGGAACACGAACACGCGCTTGAAGCATTTACGCGCGCAAAAGCTCGATTGCGTGCTCAAAAGCGTCAGCTGGAAAGCGTCTATAGGCGGTTACACACGGACGTGGATGTCTGAAAACATGTACGCACATACATGAACGCGCAAACAAAAACATCAATGTGTATGCAAAATGCCGTTGCGTTTTTGAATGTGCAATCGCTAGAAATTTTGTATGCACACTCGGAACACTGTAGCCAGAATAGCAAGATTACAGTTTTGATAGTTTTGTGCGAGCGTCTGTACAAAGGCGTCATGCACGTTTTTGTTTGTACGTTGATGTGTGTATGCGCGTATATGTATCAAGCCATCCACGCGCCGTGTGTAACCGCCTTATGATGCTACACACTATGCAGTTGCTTATCGGCCTTCGGCCTCGATTTTAGGAACCAAGGTCATAATATGGTGTATGTCGTTACGAGTTGTTTGCACCAGCACTCGTAGTTAAGAATATAAGTAAGTCTGTCGATTTCAATCTAATACCTACTCTAAAGGCCGTATCAGATGTGCCGTTGCCGATTCCGTTAGCCGTTGCCGTTGCCGTCGCGGTTGCAATCACACTGGACACCGTTCCGTTGCCGATTACTGGTCGCTTGAAATGTTTATAACGTCGAAATGTCACAGATAAAATATTCAAAGTGTAGCGCCGAACGTCGTTTTGAAGTTTCTTCTGCATTGATGTGCTATATGATTACATTGGAAGAAGAGGAAAGGGAAAGATCCAAACCAAAATAGGTTTGGGTGCAATACCGGAGAAGCGATAAACTGCAAAACAAAAAAGTGACGTTTAGACACATGTCACATGTTGTTCATAAAGCGCTTTCATTGGCTACGGTTCAGAACGGCCTCGTAAAATTTAGACTCCAACCTAAACATACAACGGCAATCGCTACCAGAAGCAGGTACATTTTGATTGGTCGAATTCTCAATCGTAATCGTTATTAGTAATCGGCAACGGCACGTATGATACGGCCTTCAAGGAATGTGAGTTGGTGGCTGGTGGCTCCCTACGTTAGAACGCCAATGGAGGGCTGTGCCAATGGTCACCTGACGTCACACCTGTTTTTGCCATATGCTTCACCCCCTCGCTCCTCATATGGAAAGTGTCAGATTAAAACCGACGGACAAAACATTCATGAGGAAAAATATTATTTAATTTTGATAAACATAATTAGCTATATTCCTTTCAAGAGTTTGAAACACTAGAGCTAGTCGCCCCTATTTGAAAGCAACAGATGCGCTAGCTGTCGTGCATATGGTTTACTTCGGGCTTGAATACTCAGGTGCAACAAACACTTTTCGAAAGGAATAAGAGCGGAGCTGTTCCGGAGCTTCTCATAGGCATGAAAGGAATAATACAACTATAAGCAAAGAGGTAGATGTAAACGACTACGAGATCAAAAATAAAAGTTGTTAGAATGCCAATTATTGTAAAAACGATTGAAGCAAGTATGCATAAAACAAAAGCCAGCACAATGCACAATCATAACCTGTGGTGAAGCGACACGCTGTCTACGGCATCACTGGTACCTTGGCGTGTAGAGGGCTTGAAATTTGATCTTACACAGGCATTATGAGGATAGGCTAGAACCTTGAGGCTATCTTATGTAGTGTGTATTATCCTTGGTCGTTTGACGTTTTCTAGCAAAGGTAGGGCGTATTCTTTCATTCAGCGATGCATCCATCGATGACCAGTCTATCCTTGTCTAGTAGTATTTTGCCGTAGTATTTTCAATAGTATTATCGGCAGAAATTAAAAGTCAAAACTTTAAACATCTCTTTTCACTCGGATTCTCACTAGCGTCTAATAGCTGGGTTCGGCTATTCAGCGCGGAGTTGGAATGGAGTAAACAGAGCTAATGGAGTCACCCCTAATACAATTAAAAGCAATACCCGAACCTTAATCCGAACGGCTGGGGTGCGAATGGAGTCACTCGGAGTGCACGGAGTAAGCAAGCCGAACCCACCTCAAGAAGCCGTATGCACTTATTTGTGTTGCTTAGGTTGGTATCATTGATTGATCCATTGATCGTTGACGGTCGCTGAAAACTGACAGACATTGCCGCCAATCTTAATTTAAAACTTTCTTGAATTTCCCCATCATCCTTTTTTCTTTCCAAAGCAAAGAGTCCAATTGCCAAATAAATAACAAATTATAAATTTTTATTTGCTTAAAGCAGAAACTTGACTAAAGCAAAATAAATAAAATGCCCCTTCAGTTTATGGGCATGGCACAGGTAAGTGCGACAGTTTCTTAGATTTACCTTTTTATTTTCAATCAGTTTTACCTTTATAAAAACACAAATTGTCACTGTCCTCAAGTTTTTAAGTCCTTTTAGGCCATAAATTATTAATTTATCAATAGGCTTTATTGCAGAACCCAGTAGTAGAACCGATGCAAGTGGACGCCTTACCAGAAGACAACGAAAACAATGAAGAGACTTTCTATGTAGTCGAGAACCCCACTATAGACTTGGAGGCATACGTCAATAGCTATTCGGGGCTTGCTAAGATACACAGGCTTATTTTCATAATAGATCATTGTCCTGCTTTGAGATTAGAGGCTTTGAAAATTGCTATTTCTTATGTTATGACAACTTATAATGTTCAATTGTATCAGGTAAGAATTTCTACCTACATATGTCCAGCCCCCAATACAAAATTTTCTTAACTTTTATAGATTTTACATCAACGTCTTGCCGATGTAACAAGCAGCATGAATGTTCCGGATGTTGCAGCTGCTTCAGCTTCCCAAGATATTCCCATTATTGATAATTCTTGGGTGGACCAAAGGCTTAAAAAAGCTGCCCTTAAATTAGAAAAGTTGGATAATGATTTAAAGAATTACAAAAGTAATTCCATTAAAGAAAGCATCAGAAGGGGCCACGACGATTTGGGGGATCATCATTTGGATTGTGGAGATTTGTCTAATGCCCTAAAATGCTACTCCAGGGCTAGAGATTATTGCACTAGTGGAAAACATGTCGTCAATATGTGCCTGAATGTAATCAAAGTATCAGTTTACTTGCAAAATTGGTCACATGTTTTGAGTTACGTTGCTAAAGCTGAAGGAACGCCAGATTTCTCTGAATCTCAATCGGCCAAAGAAACAAATCCAACGATATTCACTAAACTTAGATGCGCAGCCGGATTAGCTGAATTAGCCACAAGAAAGTTCAAATTAGCTGCTAAACATTTCTTGCAAGCAAGCTTGGACCATTGCGAATTTCCTGAGTTACTATCTCCAAACAATGTTGCTACGTATGGGGGTTTGTGTGCTCTTGCTACATTCGATAGGCCAGAATTACAAAAACATGTAGTGAATAATGGAGCGTTTAAACCATTTTTAGAACTAGAACCTGCCTTACGTGATGCAATTTTGAAGTTTTATGAGTCAAAATATGCCGCTTGTTTGAAACTTTTAGATGAAATGAAGGATGCTCTACTTTTGGATCTTTATTTGGCTCCACATGTTCCTGCACTGTATGCTCAAATTAGGAGTAGAGCTTTAGTCCAGTACTTCAGGTAAAAAATTGACTTTTTTTTTAGTATAGTGTTTTACATAATTTTAATTTTAGTCCTTATATGTCGGCTGATTTAAGAAGAATGGCTCAAGCTTTTGGTAGGACTGTGCCTGCCCTTGAAGACGAACTTATGAGGCTCATTTTAGAAGGGCAAATTCAAGCTAGAATTGACTCGCACAATAAGGTAATTCTTTTTATTCAAAACCATTGCATATTTATTGAAAATAAATAAATCTGTAGGTTCTTTTTGCTCGCGATGCAGATCAAAGAGGTGCCACCTTTGAAAGAGGCCTTTTCGTAGGAAAAGAGCAGCTAAGAAGAGCTCGAATGTTGGTTTTGAGGGCCGCTGTGTTGAAGAGTAGGCTTCAAGTTCAAAGTCCTCCAAGAGAGCAAGGGGAAAGTGCTCAGCCTCAAATGCAACCTGTGTCTAGTGGGGCTAGATCTTGAATTGTTTGAAATTATTTACTTGTATATACCGTTTTAAAAGTTTTGGTAAAAACTAGTGTTTAATTTTGTCTCTCCAGATTTAAGTTTCTGTGATTCTATGTTGGCCTGCGTTTTGTCTAAATTTTGGAGACAAAACTATTTTTTAATTTAAGGCTGGACCCTGTACCTATGAGAAGTTCTTTTTTGAGAATTTGTTTATTGACAATCTTTGGTTGTTCTAGCTTGTACCCAATTTCACAAATAAAGATAATTTTTCAAGAGTGGAAGTTTGATTGATGTTTATTGAGGCCAACATGAGTAAGTTTTAATAATTTATGACCAATTTCGTATATCAACAAAATGGCAAAATTTAATTGCTCGTTCAATAAACCAATTTTTTTAATATAAGGGAGAATAAAACTAATTTTGCTTGTGTATGTTTTTTGATAAGCCAGCCAATTCGTTGAAAAACGAACCCTTAAGATCTAATATGGTATTTTGTATCGATAATATTAATCATTATGCAATAAATATTAGGTATTTGCTAATTATTCACTGTGTCATCTTATGTAACATTCTAATAGAACAAATAGTATTAATTTCCCAAAAAGGCTTCAAATTGAATGCAATTTTTATAGTGGGCTTCTCTAAAATACCATGACAGTCCTGTGAACTGAGTCTAAATATTTACGAAATGTGATAGGATCAACCAATGACATTTGGACCAACATACATTTTTGGTTCTTGTCACCACCCAGAACTAAAAATAATTCACAGCTCTATAAGTGTAAAATTTACTGTTTTTAGAATCAGTTCTTTAATTTGCATTTAGTTTATTTAATTCTAAATTTCTCCTTGGTCCGTCTAACATTTAATAAAGAAATTTTCTAGTAAATTTTAGTTAAAATTTTATTGAAAAATTAAGTAACAATTTCACTAACTTATAATGTGTTATCGTTGTTTATTTCTACCAAAAGTGCACAATAACAACAAGGTCAAGAGCAATCCTGCTTTTCTTCCACACCTACGTGTCAGCAAAAAAATACAGTGTGTGGTAAATCATTTGGGAAGCAGGGGAATCACCGAGAAATGCACTATCAAGGTTTAGGAATTGCTATCGCTCTCAGGCTGTAACTGAAAATTATCAATGAGTACAACAAAGACGATATCAATTTTTAGTCAAGGTTTATTAACATTTAAAGTTTTCCACTGACACAAGTGGCTCCTTCCATTCAGTCTATCATATAAATACTCGCGGAAGCTTTAATTTCCAACATTATCTTTGTTGAGTTTAAAGCTAAGCTAAATTGTTTAGAAAACAGAAATAAGAATGTCTGTAAACCAAAAAAATTTGGACAACCGTTCGGGTCAATTGAACACCAACAACGAGAAATTCTATTCAAGCTTTGGTAAAAACTACAAATGGACGAACGTCCAAGTGACTGGTAATTTTTTTTATTTCAATGGTTTTATTTGTAATGTTCTCATTTATTTTTCTTTTTAAACAGGGCTACTTCTAACTACGGCTCGTCTGGCAATCCACCGACCCAAAGTGATTTGGATAATCACAGTAACCAAAAGAATCCGAACAATCCTGAATATGGTCATTCCAGAAGTGCTGGAAGCAAGAAATAGGAGGTTCCGCTAAGAAATGATTAGTGGTTGTCTAAAAAAAAAGTATACAATTGTTTTGGCTTGTTAGGCCTTTCTCTTCGATTCATGTTCACAATTTCAATTTTAGAGTCTGTCTAGCTATGAGATTATATTAGTTACTGTTTTGCAAAAATTTAAGTTCAATAAGAGTTGCAATATGTATTTAGGTTTTGTACTATTTTTTTTTTCAGATCATTCCAGTTTCCATGAAGAGAGCACTTCAATGATTTCTTCAAATATAATTGCTTAATCAATGTATTAATATGTTATCTTTCTCAGAATAATATCAATACCTATAATCATTGAAAATATAGTAACTAGTATGCTTTAATAAATCATATTAACCATCTAAAGTCTTAAGTTTTTTTTCTTCTTTTTAATAGATGCTGTGGTATGCATTATATGCATTTATTAGGGTGACTAGAAATAGGTATACCCAGGGTTTTTGAGACTATTCATTAGTTCATTTTCAACTGAATTGACCGCAATATTAATATTTCTTGGATTTATTGAGCCAATACCTATTTGCTGAAAATTGAAATCCATCACTTTCATGAGATTAATTTTGTTGTTGCGTCTCTAGCGTTTTCTGAATTATTGGAATTCTCAGTGCAGCTGGCTTTTCAATAGGCTTTTCGGCCTTTCAATCATCGCGTGATTATTGGGGATCATAATATATGTCTTTTTTTAGGCGATTGGCTTCGGTTGGATTTTGGATTTTAGATTAGATAAAAGGGATGGTTTCGAATTATTATGTGGGGTATGTTTCCACTACTATCTTAGTTTTATCTAAAAAGTAGAGATTAGTTTCTTGATCGTTTCACATTATTTCGTCAGAAGTTAGTTTTTTTCGCCTTCGTTTTGCCTTTCAAAAACTCATTATCAAAGATCTGTATTCCTGCTTGATTGTAGTGGAGCAGTGTTGTATTATAGTCGTTATTTTTGTGTTATCGTGTTGAAGTGAGTAGTCCTATACTTATCCATTAAAGGGGGTGTGACCCTAAAAAACGACTTAAGCTACTTTAATAAAGAAAAAAATTCTAAGATCTCTCGTGAAAACCGCAGTCCTATATTCAAAATAGTCTCCGAGGAAATTCCATTTGAAGATAAATTATGCAGGAGCTTGTGATGTCACAACCGCCGAAATCGCAGTCTTCTGTTCGTTCAGTCGTCAGTGAACCGTACCCCATACTTTAAGTGGTTGCATTTCGCTCTAGGAGATAATTGTCTTTTGTTTTAGAAAATTCTTACACGTGTTAATACTGTCCCTGATAATCCAGTGTGACGTCACAAAAACCTAGTTGTAACTTTAAACCGCCCTAACTCGAAAATGGATCATCGTAGCAAGATGCGGTTTAAATATTTATTCTTATAAATTTTTTTGCACTAAAACTTTCATTTTTGGTCACACCCCCTTCAACCGTAATAAATAATAATATGAAAAGTACCATACACATCTGTATGTAGAAGTACCTACTGAATACCTATGAGTTTTTTTTTTTTAATTCAGCACCGTATAAGATTGAGCTGTACAGGGTGTTTCAAATTCAAGCCACATCATTGGGATCTCGGAAACGGTAAGATATACAGGGTCGGTTAAATCGGGGCAAAGTTGTGTAATTTGATGCTTAACAAAATGTCGCTTTGATATTTAGGATATTCCAAATACTTCCGGAGATAGGTATCCGGAAAAAAACCGAAATTCAGCAAAATTGTTTTTATTTTATCCTGACTTTATTTGAAGTGATATTCCAGAAAAAAATATCACTTCATCATGGCCACTTTTTCTCCCCTACAAGATGCTACCATCAAATTTAAAACCTGACGTTTCGTCTTTGGGCCACCATCATCAACTCTATTTTTTTAAATACGACCCTGGATTTTTTATTTCAGATTTTTAGTGCTTCTGATGTCCCAAAACCTATGACGTATCGCATTTATTCGAAAATAGCTATTTACCTAACAAGTGCGGAAAATGAATTTTTCCGCACTCGGCTGCCGTTCACCAAACGACGCAAACAAATTAACCCCTACTCCAACCAAGGCTCATGTTTCATGAAATCTTTATTGGTGCAAACCGCCAGATTCATCAGACTCTTGCAGCGATGACGAAAGTGTTTTGAGTTTTTAGCGATTTTTATGCACCAAAATTTTATGTTATTTTAGTTTATAGTTTGTATTCTTGACTTTTTCTCATTTTTGTTCTGCTGAGAGTTTTTTTCTGATAAATGCCGTTGATTATCTTTTTTCTCCCATATTTATGTGTATATTATTTATTACTATACAGGGTGATTTAGGTAGCCCGTGCATTAGGTGGCAGCTGGCAGGTGGAATAGACGCTATTTATACTAATCCACCAAACTGGACCACTATACTAATGCACATGCTACGTAAATCACGTTGTATAGTTCAGCCAAACCGATCGTTATGAAGTTCCTTACTGAGTTTATCAAAAACACAAAACACATATTAAATTACTGTGTGCATTTTTAAGCAGTATCATAAAACTGAATAGTTGATGCATTTTTGCTTAAACAAGATGTATGAAACCACTTTTTCGCACTTCCGGGTCTAAAGTTACACTTCACTCCCTGATAACAGAGAATAAAGTGTAATTTTTTCTCCCTCCAGAATTTTCGTCGATATAGGTATTTAGTACCAAAGGGAGAAGAAATATTTGGGAATGAGGAAATCCTAGACGAAGCAATTAAAGATCGGAATATACAAGATAATACAAGGACGCAAGGCAATATCGCAATATCCCTACTAAATGGAGTACTGTAAAACCAACATATCAACAAAACTAGAATAAACAACACTATAGTCACATGTATGTAGTTCAGAGGTCTGGTTACTAAAGAACAGAACCGCAAAAATGCTGGAAGCAACTGAAATAGACTTTTGAAGGAGATCCCGGCAGGCAGGTTAGGAATGGAAAGGATTACAAATCAGAATTAGGGAATTTATGGACGTAAGACACAATAGTAGATAATATAAACAAACTCTACATATAAAGGACCAACAACTGATTTGGTATTTCCGAATAGGTAACTCGCATGATCTATATTCTAAATTAAAATTTTTATTACAAAACAATTATTCCGAACGTGCTCTAAAGAGCGTTTTGATATTGCCTAACTTTAATACACAATTTGAACGCTATTGAATTTATATGAACTAATCTACGACTAAGGCCGAAGTTTCATGCATCCGTTTTTCCGTCGAAATATGTCCGAAAAGTCTTCTATTTTGACATATTTATATACGATTATGTCAGAATAGAATGTTTTTCGGACATATTTCGTCGGAAAAACGGATGCATGAAAATCCACGCTAAGGTACATAATCGTATTAAAATATGTCAAAATAGAAGATTTTTCGGACATATTTCGTCGGACAAACGGATGAATGAAAAGCCACCCTAACCCTTTTTTCCAAGTTTTGACATAATCAATCTCAAAAGTACAAACCCTGGTGAAACGGACTGTGAAATCTGTTTTTTTTTTTAAAGATAAAAGTCAAAATGACATTGTGTTGGCAATACAATGTAAAATTGTCAATGCTTTCAAATTTTTTATGCAGAAAAGGCTTGTGTTGCCAACAGTTACTAAATTTTTGACTGAAGATAATTCCGCAAGTCAAAAATTTAGTAACTATGTTGGCAACACAAGCCTTTTCTGCATAAAAAATTTGAAAGCATTGACAATTTTACATTGTATTGACAACACAATGTCATTTTGACTTTTATCTTTAAAAAAAAAAAACAGATTTTACTTTAGGTATATAGGATGTACCCTGACGAATTTGCAGGCGTCCGCATATGCCATAAAATGACAAATGCATTAGCGCTAACCTGGCGACAACCAGGTAAAAAGGAAACGTAAAAAACCTGTCACTCAAAAATACCCTTAAAGCCCATTTTACAATGGAGGTACCGTAACCGTAAAGACGTAACATGAGTCCTAAATATGTACCATCGTTACCAAAAGTATCTGGGACACAAATAATGCATAATAATCTCCTGGACTAATTCTACTGTCATTCATTTCAATGCATTTAATGCATAGTTTGACAAATATTTGACAATAAAATTCATATAATAGGACAAGAGCTAATTTGATGCTGTCCCAGTTACTTTTGGTGACGATGGTACCATCGTTACCAAAAGTAACTATGGGACAGCAACATATTAGCTCCTGTACTTTATATGACTTTTGGTGTCAAATATTTGTCAAACTATGAATGAAATGCATTGAAATGAATGACGGTAGAAATAGTCCAGGAGATTATTATGAATTATTTTTGTCCCAGATACTTTTTGGTGACGATGGTACATTAGAATTATTTGCGTCAAATATGTCACCGAAAATGCACCGTAAGTGATGACCAACTCGCATCTTCTCTTACGTTGCGTTTCCGGTGACACATTTGACGCAAATAAATCTAATGTACGCATGCTTAGGACTTGTGGCGTCTTTACAGTTACGTTAAGTCCATTCTAAAATGGGTTTGAATGGGATTTATAAATTCCATAACATATCCGTAACGCAACCGTAACACAGCAAAACGCAAGCATTTTAAAAATTACAATTTATACATTCCTTGCGTTACATTTGGCACATGCGTCGTAAATTGTTAAAAATCAGTGATTAATTGTTTTACGTTGTCTTTTTTGCTACCGAAGGCCTCAATTGTCCCAGCTGAGGTTTGCCCAGCATCCCGGAAGCATTTTCATTTTATAATTTTTGAAATGTTTGGCTATGTTGAGCTTAACTGGTCCAAAATATTTGAATCTTTTGCAATAGCAAATAATAGCTTCAGAAATTAGAAGAAATAGATAATAATAATAATAATAGCTGATCCTAGATTCAACGAAACATCGTTTCAACAAGATGGTTACCTAGCCCATAATACGTCGTCGTCTTGCATACGAAAGGGCGTATCTAAAAAATCCTAATTTTACAGGAGAGCGGTTTGAAATTTTTGATACAATCAAAACTTCCGCCACACAAATTCAATAAGGTTTGTATTGCTGTTATTGGGTTTTTTCAGTCAGAAAAATAAAACAAACAGCAACAAAATATCGACTAAAGACATAATTAAAAGGGCATATCAAAAAAACTCGATTTTTTGAGATACGCCTTTTCGTATGCAAGACGACGACGTGTTTCATTCTGGGCTGTTTGAATAATACCTACTTTTCCAAAATTCCAAACCGTCTCATTGCTGGGTCAAGAGCTACAATACTGTGGCATAATTTTTCTTCTATTTTTTATATTGGAATACATTTTTAGTTTTTCCTGGACGGGTTTTTTGAAATAGATGTTTTCTTTCCATAGAATCGGAACAATACTAGTATTATTGTTTCGATTCGAAAAAAAAACTATTAATAACCAACGCTCGACGATACATCTAAAAGCACGATCCAGAAGCATAAAGTTTTGTCTGCACAGTTCAACACGTGATCAGCAATCAGCAAAGTCTGGACCAGGCTCAAGTTTGTAAAATCATAAAACGTACTGATGTGAACAAACTCAAAGAACGTCAAAGTCATCGAAAAAACGACAGCGACAGGTGTTCAAACGGCTGCGGACGTTCATAAATTCGTCAAGTTGGATCCTATGGCCGAGTTCGTTTTTGTCATCTTTTTCGTCGATATGCTCCGAAATTTTGACAGGCACGAGGCACGTGATTTATAATCTGAAACGCTGAAACTGTCTTATCCAGTCATGTGCCCACATGTGCCTGTCAAAATTTCGGTGCAAATCGACGAAAAAGATGACAAAAACGAACTCGGCCTATATAGGTACCATCGTCACCAAAAGTATCTGGGACAAAAATAATTCATATTAATCTCCTGGACTAAGTCTACTGTCATTCATTTCAATGCATTTAATTCATAATTTGACAAATATTTGACACTAAAAATCATATAATAGTACAAGAGCTAACATGATGCTGTCCCAGTTACTTTTGGTGACGATGGTACCTAGTAGCCTGCCCCTTACTATATAGGGGAGGAGGCGACGTCACTTGACAAAAAGCGGTAACGGGTCCACCATACCGCGTGTGGCTAAATTCACCAAAATGGTGCACCACCACGGATGCGGTGATTACGATTCACTAATGCCAATGCCAAACCACAGCTTTGTCAAACCCTGTTTAATTTACATGTAATTTACCAACACTGGTTCTCCTACTATTCCACCACGGTGCCTACACCAGCTGAATTTAGCCACACGCGGATACTGGTGCTGGTTTTGTGTCATTACTTACTGGCATTACAACTGTCCATGGGCAAAGTTAGGGCATCAGATCTGGGGGGGCTACAGCCCCCGGCCCATAGGGGGAGGGGGAGGCCCGCCTCAAACGCCGCCGGAGTCAAGAAAATTTTTGAGGTGCCACGCCCAAAAACGTTCATTTCGACCCACAAAATGAACGATTTTGGGCGTTCTGAGCGTTCAAAAAATAAACAAATTATTGTTTATTTCTGAAAGTACAAATATTATTGAACTAAATAAAAAATTGAAAAATGGGCCATATGGAACTCTGGCAAAACAGGTTTAATCAAATCGTTTATTTTTGTTAAAAACATAAAAACATTTGCGTTGTGATTTTTTAAGTAAAGTATTTTTGGATTCCGATTTTTTAAAATAGGTACCTAATTGCAGGGAGGGCGGAAGCCCATATTTTGTAGGTACTGTAAAATCAACGTTTCATAAATATCAACACCGAAAGAAAAATAAAATTGAAAAATTTTATTTATTTAAAAATACAACAGCATTTATTGTACAAATTTATGGAAGTAACAGATTCCGATTTCCTGATTTAATAAATTCATCCAGAACATCATCTAACATCAGGGATTTTGTAATATGTACCATTTTCAATGTTAGCAAGAGCTAAGAAACTGAATCGATCTTGACCCATGGTCGATCTCCTAACCTCAGAATTGGCTCAAATTAGGCATTAACATTGAGACTGAACCGAAAATGTTTAAATGCACATACCTAGATTAGTTAAAGTATGATAATTGAAAAAAAAAATAGAAAATAGGTGTTGGTATATTTGGTTTTTTGTAATATCTATTTTCTAATATGTGTGTGTGTGATGAAGTGCGAATTATTTTTGGGGGGCTAAAAATCGTTGTTTGGGGGAGCTTAGACCCCCCAAGCCCCCCCCACCTAACTTCGCCCATGCAACTGTCATACTCAATTTCTGATTTCGAGACATAATACGCAATTTTTGCTTATTTTGGTGTTTTTTCGATTTGCTTGTGTTGTGTGTGAGAGAAGTATAATGTCTTCATGTGCAGTAAGAAGTTGCTGCAGCAGGTTTGGCGTAGAAAAGAAGAAATCAACGGGAATATCATTTCATAGGTGAGTATAAACAACATTCAGGATCGGTCTTCAAATTTTTTGTTGTAGTTTTAATATGTAGTTATGTTTTGAGAAGTATAATTTTTTAACAATTTTAACAATTTTTAGGCCACATAAAAACAATTAAATATATGTAAAAATTGAAATACCAATAGAGTCTGAATTTTAAATATATTTGAATTGAGCTATATGAAGTAAACAAATATCACATTTGAGCTGAATCCAACCCTGATAATGCGGCCATATTGGTGCTGGAATAAGCTCCTCCTAATGATCCCATTATCAATGCAAACTCGTATACTGCAACAGCGTCTCCTTTTATATACTATCTCAATGTGCTACACCAATAATATCTGAAAAGCATATAGATATTTCGTTTTGGAAAACAGTGTCCCTATTGCCAACTTGAACATCGAACATCCCCTACATTATCAATTTTTTCATGGATTACCCTTATCGTATCCCATAGTTGACAAAAAAATGCATTAGGAGAGTTTTTTTATTATATCAAACAACGCAAAATTCACTGAGAACAAATACGCGTGCACGTCTTTGCACTACTCAAAATCATCACTTGCTTTGCCGCTAAATATGGAAACAAGCAACAGGAACTTTTGTTGCTGCAACCGTAAAAAATAAGGAAATTGGATTAACTTTTCGAAACATGCAGACAAAGGTTCCAGGAACAAGCAACATAAACACTATAATATTGCTTTCGGTGTGGATGTAGCTTGAGGTTACTGTAAATAAAAAAAATAAACACAATATTTAAATTCTTAAAGTTTATTATTCCAAGATAGAGCTACAACATCTAAAACAAAAAAATAAATAATATATAACAGCTATATACAATTTAACAAAAATATTTTGCAATAATATAATAATTTTCTAAAATGCATATCTCCTTCAATAATAACCCGTTTTTAGATTAAAAAACTCTCAACAAAATAAAAAAATATAGGTAAACTGAAACCTAGGAGGAGAATGGTTTGAATGAAGTTTCTATAAAATTATAAATTGGTGATGAAATGCCTTAAAACCCATCTATAACCAATAAAAAATTTTTAAAACAAAACATTTTTTACTATATTTATCTGAGAAACACTGAAATCTAAAGAACATCTTAAAACTGTGACTGTAATTCACACGATTGAAACTACTTATTCTAAATTTTTTGGAACAAATCTGCAGATGAGTTTTAAAATTTTCCCAATCAAAGTTAACTAAACAGGTTTAACATTTAAATAGAAAAAACTCACTTTACATAATTAAAAAAATATTCACTTTGGCGTAAAAAACAAGTAGATGGGGTTATAACATATCAGTTTAAAAGGACCCATAGAATTAAAAATAGAGTTCCAATGAACTATCAGTTGATAATTCACATGAGCTAAATTTCGCTTTTACTGGGGTCTTACTGGTATTGCAATTTCTTCAATGTCCGAAATTCTATAGTATAATATTAATGTACTAACTATTATCCACAATATAGCATTAATAATATAATAATGTATGTTTATTGAGCCTGGTCTTTTCATCAACTGTTTACTTTTGATAAACTATAGATTTGATTTTTTAATAGTTGACAAAGTAACCACAACCCTCAGTGTCACAAGTTGCAACACTAATTAATTTAAAGATATTACATCAAATATAGATTTTTTTCAAAATTTCGATAACCAAAAAAAATACGGTATAATTTTATACAACGTCGTCTACAGGTAAAGTTATATAATTTATTTTTTTTGAACACCCTGTGTACAAACTTTTCACATGTACAAATAATTAACGAACGACACTCACACGGATTAGGAAAAACAAAAACAGATTTACTTTATAGAATTGTGAGTTGAGGAGATTTGAATTAATCAATTGCTACAAAATTAATGTGTAGCAACACACCGATAATAAAATGTAATTTGAAATTAAGGAAGCGATCACTAGATAGAGATAACTCTCACAGAACTATAAGGTTAATCCATTTATTATAAAAAGTATTTTTTTTTTCGTACTATCTAGTGGGATATACATGGTTATAAAGAGCATATAAAGGATAGTTTCTTTTTATTTTATCATTAGCAATAACTTCAATGTCATTTTATAATTTATTAAGGGTATATGTTTTTCAACAACAGCAATTTGAAAGACTTGGGAATTGTATTTGAAATTTTAATTGCAAACCATTAAGTGAATATTAAATCTAGGTTGGTTTGACATTTAAATAAAGTCTTTTGGATCATAAACACAATGAAATTTGCTTGGATTTACACAATATTATAGGATATGTCCTGAGAATGTGTAGGTGAACATCGATATTGAAAAAAGGTTTGGATCTCTTCGGATTGTCTGCAGATGGCGTACCTGCATACTAACCCATACTGGGTTTAATAACATTTCTAAAGTCAAGACGGAAAAAAAAGATGAATTAGGTCATCATAAGATAATGTATGCAAGAGGCAGTTCTTGCGTTGCGGAATCTTGAGAAATGTATTTCAAATGAGACAATAGAATCTCAACACTCATTGTTCCATGGCATAATGATCCAGAGAATAATCACATAGAGAAGTATTGGCCATAAGAAGCGCCTTCTTCTGGTTACTTTTCCCTCAGCAACTACTTTTTTTAATATATTCCCAAGCCTTTCACTATATTCTCTTATTATATTAAAGATTAGAATTATTACACACATAGAATCTGAAAGATTTATGAATTTTGGAAAACTTATCAACACACTCTTGTCTTGATTCAGGTTCAAATCAACTTGCATTAGAAAATTATACTGTTCAATGGCATATAATTCTTAATGCGAATGTAGACAAAAATGCATTTTACTACGGAAATAATTCCTTGTGCATACCTGTTCGTATTAAATGGTAAAGACAAGGACTTCACATACATTCTATGTATTCTTATGATGTAAAATCCTTGTTTTAAAACAAAGTTCCTAGAAAATGTGTTTTTTTTTTCTCCAACTAAAAATGTTTTTTACCTGAGGCACAAATCTGTCTTCAAGTGATTCAAGTTTTATCATTATATTATAAAAGCAAATCAATCAGATTTTTTTTTACTGGACAAAATCTCACTTTTTTGCTTTTAGAAGAATTTAAGGCAGGCTGAATATACATTACATATCAGGGAACATTGTTTAATATTTATTTTTATTATTCTAGTGAAAAAAAAGCCTTTCCATCCATATATTGTATACTATATAGGCCAAATAGTTAATATCCATTTTTAATACTGTTTAAATTTTTTAGCCCGCTAATATTTTTTCTTCACTAAAATATTTATTTTTGACTAATAGTTATAATATAATCTGGAATTTGCTTTAAATAACGCTCTTATTTTTTTTTTGGATAAACTTAACAAATGTCTTCGCTAACGTGGACTAGACTTACAAGGTCCATCTCAGTACCGTATTCGATCGTCATTTTTCAAATTATTGTCTTGACTTTTTGTGGATACGTCTGCAGTTTTGACAGGGACAATATTTGAAAAACTAGAAGAAAAAAAAACATCATTAAATCAACTAAGAAAACAGGAAATTTTATTCTACCTATAAGACATTTCAGAGTCACGAGAGATATGTAACTCATATTTCAGCCACCAGTTAAATAATGCACCCGTAGTGGCGAGGTTCATCACCTTGTACGGTCATAACTATTTTGTCTAATATGAATTTTTATTATATTTTTATCTATAAGAAAGAAGTAGAATCTCAAATAAAAAAAATGCTGGACCAGAACATTATTCGTCCCAGTAATTCTCCTTGGTCATCCCCAATTTGGGTGGTGCTAAAGAAGACCGATGCACCTGGAAAACAAAAATTCCGCGCAGTTATCGACTACCGGAAATTAAATGAAAAAACTATAGACGACAAATATCCCTTAAAGAATATTACAGACCTGCTAGATAAATTAGGCAAATGCCAATATTTTACCACCCTTGATTTGGCTAGTGGGTTCCACCAAATAGAAATGGATAAATGTGATATTCCTAAAACAGCTTTCAATACCAAGAACGGGCACTACGAGTTTACTCGCATGCCATTTGGGTTGGGAAATGCTCCGGTGACATTCCAAGAGTCATGTACGGCATTTTGCGTGGAATACAAAATGAAAAATATCTGGTTTATCTTGACGACATTTGTATGCTCCACGTCACTGCAGGAACATCTAAAACGCCTGAGGACGGTTTTTCAAAGAATCCGATACTCCAAATTCAAAATTCAACTCGACAAATGCGAATTATTGAGACACGAAGTCGCCTATTTAGGTCACGTAGGTGGTAAACCTAATCCCGAAAATATCATAGCCATCAAAAACTATCCAATACCTTCGACAACTAAGCAAATGAAGGGCTTCCTAGGACTATTAGGTTATCATAGGCGTTTCATTAACAACTTTGCAAAAATCACCAAACCGCTAACGAAATGTCTGAAGAAAAAAGCAAAAATAATTCATAACAGCAAATTTATTGATTGCTTTGAAACGTGTAAAAACCTGTTAATGAACGAAGCAATCCTCCAATACCACGATTTTGACAAAACCTTCAACTTGACATGTGATGCCACCAGCGACGTAGCTTTGGGCGCAGTCCTATCCTATTGTCCTATCCCAACGGCCAATAGGTCAAGACCTTCTAGTTGCATACGCATCACGAACATTAAACGACTCAGAACGAAATTATTCTACCATAGAGAAAACATGCTTTTGCATCGTGTGGGCCACCAAATATTTTAGGCCCTACCTCTTTGGTCAGAAATTCAACATTATTACGGATCATAAACCTCTCGAATGGCTCTCAAATATGAAAGATACAAGTTCGAAACTGATTCGTTGGAGATACAGAATTCAATTACAAAATCATTTACAAAAAAAGCAAATTGAATACTAATGCTGACGCCTTAAGTCGCATCGAGTTACATACAAAATAAACTGAAGGCTTTTCAAAATTAATGTCCTACATAAACGAATTTAATAGAAAATTGGGAGAAGAAAACCAAAACACGAATGACATGGATCAGATGTCCACCGTAGTACACCCAGACCCTGAACTAGAACAAGGACCTTTCACGAGAGCAGAAGATGAAAGCGATAACAACATCGTTCACACAACGACCAAGATCCAATAGTGGCCGTGCCAATTTCAGAATCAGCTGTTAATTATCACGCAAACCAAATAATAATAGGTCTGTTCCCACCGACATGAGAACCCGTTCTAGAACGGTAATTTCCAGTCGATCAATTCATTTGTCAATTAGGATTAACGTTCAACTTATTTGAAAAATAGGTGGGCAACTGGAAATTACCGTTCTAGAACGGTTCTCATGTCGGATTGGAACAGACCTAATAACAAAAGTATTCCATTCCCCAGCAAAGACAAAGCGAATGATATCATTTGAAAAAAAAAGAGACGGAACTGAATTCAAAATCACCGTGCCATTGCAAATCCATAAAATAAAAATCCATTTTTGTCCCCAAATCGTCCACAATCCAACCCTGTAATAGAGAGAGTTCATTCCACCTTATCGGAACATGTCAGATTATTGAATAAACAGGGATTCCAAAATACCCCAATCACCCAAAAAATGAAATACGCAATTTTGGCACACAATCATTCCATCCATTCCGTTACAAAATTCAAACCCTTGGACGTCATTTAAAATTTAAATTAACTAGGTCATGAGCGCGCTTCGCGCGCTTTTTTTTTAAATCAAGTCCATCAAAATAATTATAAAATGGAAAATATTTATTAGGTGTTGTACAAAAAACAGCATAATTTTTGATTTAAATGTACGTTGTACGTGGCATTCGGCACAAATGTGTGTGTGCGATACAAATTTAGGCGAGTGTGGACCTGTTCGCAGCATACGGACGCACGCAAAAATTTTCGCGGCATTCAACGCACGCGATCCGCGGATTGTCGGTTTTTTTCAAAACATCAAAGAGATTTACGGCGCAACATGTTCTGGTGTGGACGTATTTTTTCGCGAACGCATCGATTTTGACAAATTGTGAATCCGTGATTACTGTCTTCTGATGGATGGATAATACTGCAAGAAAATGTGTTGCTTTCATAGTTATGTGCCTTATTCTCATTAGGAAAAAGGAAGAGAAAAAAAGAAACAAATCCATCAGGTCTATTGGACTAAGTATCTGTATCAGCATAAGAAAAACTCTGATGGTAGCACATTATTGAATATTCTATCTATGGATGAAATTACAGGGCATTTGAAAAAAAAATTGCGTATGTCTTCAAATAATTTTGAATTTTTGATACACAAGATTGGGCCCAAAATTGCCAGAATGGATACAATAAGCTTAGGAAAGCCATACACCACCGCCACACGACGTTGAGCAAGAACGCACGGCGCACAACACAAATATTTATGTGGTTCAAGATACCAAATTTGCGCCAAAAAAATGTGTGGCGAATCCCGAATTCAACACAACGCATTTATTTACTAATCTGGACGCGGCTTTATACATTAAATGTAACAGTAGTGAGATAAGTTGTATAGATGTTATTTTAGTGAAGAAATTTCAAATGCGATGGATGGAGTTGGTGACTAATTATTTTTGTATGGTATATCATAATGATTTTAAATCGATCACATTTCTTGAATGTACGGTGTGCGTATGTCTACTTATCTCATTCTGTTTTATGGAACTCGTAGGTATACATTTTTCGAAGTGGTTTAATTAAAACAGAATAATCATAACCATAATCAAGGTGTTATTATAAACCGAGTTATTGACTATTTATGTACGAGATATCGAGTCTTAAATTTTTTTTTACATTTTCATGAAGTTCCTTTTTTTTATTAGGCCAGTTATTGAAGTCTACTCGATCAACATTTTACTGCAAACAATCGAAAAAAAAATTTTTTTAAAAGATTTTTTGTTTGTACCTACGTGGTAGACATAAATTTTAAATGTGATCAAATAGGCCAAGCAATGAAGGAAGTTTACCTCAACATAATTTGAAGTTAACATTTTTTGGGGGGGATCGGTTCATTTTCATGTGCTTAATAATATATTAAGTTTGCGACCTTGTACTTCCATAGGGTTTTTAGTTAGTGGTGGTTTTTAGGGGTAATTTGCGGTTTATGGAGAACGCTGCTCAAAGGGATGGTCCAATAGCAAAAAGTTTCAAATGAATGTTGTACCTGATGTTTTTTGCTATAAAAAACTCAGGGACAGCACCCCTCTATCTTCTATAGTTTTTTTTTCTGCAGCGTCTTGAATAGTAGCATGTTATTGTTCAAGGTCACTGAATCAACGTTTTGCTATTTTGCGCGCATTTGTTGCAGCAGCGGCCGAATGCATAATCCGATTTCAATTTTTCGAACACCACATTATTGCTAATAAAATGCACTCTCCAATGCTTTTTTGTTCGAATTTTTTACTTGAAAATTAAGCGAGCACGGACTTGTCTAAAGTGCGAGGAAGTTGTAAATTGCATCGAAAACTACCCCTTTCTTGCATTCACTCTAATTTCTAAACGGGGCCAAATATTGGGTGACAGTTTTCGACAATCGGCAGCCCATTTATTCCTCTCATAATGCCCCTGCGCATTTTTTTTTTCGTCGAACAGTCAATATCTCACAGCTTAACAGATTATCCCCAAGTTCCAGAACTAAAGGCCTTGTACCATTGCAAAGACCTGCACTGATGCTTAGATTTCTAATAAGCATAAAATAGAATTCGTTTTCAATCGTAATTCATGGAGCGGGAATTCGGCGGATTAAGCGAATTTAAATATTTTGGAAGAATAGCATCATTTAGATCACTATTATCACAGTTCTCGACACTATCTATACTGGTGTAGAGTTTTTCGGTCTTGACGTCCAACAGTTCGACAACTTATTCGTTTATTTCTTCGACATCAACATTTCTTGCAGAAAGTATTGCAGATTTGGTCAAGTCCCTGAATCTTCCTTCTTTTAGTATTGTTCGTCGACTTTTCGTATGAGGAGCGAGGGGGTGAAGTATATGGCAAAAACCAGGGGTGACGTTAGGTGACCATTGGCGTTCAAATGTAGGGTGCCACCAGCTCACATTCCTTTCGAGTATTAGATTAAAATCGACGGACTTTACTTCTCCATAGCTGTTTTCAACAATATCCGAATTATCAATACATTTCTCCGACAATTTTAGATTGTCGTTAGAATCATTTAGTGTTCGTTATCGCATAAATATGGCTCAATTTCAGCAATAAGTGCTTAATGTTGGCCTTTAAGGCGGCAACCGTTCGAGGTTTGTCAACATAGACTTTGGATTTTAGAATGCCCAGAGAAAAAAATCCAGTGACGTTAGGTCGGCCAATTGTGGATTCTGAAGGACGATCGTTGACATCATAAATTGCACGGAGTGCACGAAACGCTTTCCGAATAGAACATTGGTTTTGATAATGATAATAATTTTTAACAATTCCGACGCGTTGCTCAATCGTGTAGCGCTCCATAATAAAATGCAGAGACTAATTGAATACGGC